TCGGAACAACATTGTCGGCAGAGCTTTGCGCGCACTCGCCTCGGAAAAGCGGCAGATGTACTGCCTTTGGCTTCTTGCCTACAAGGCTCGAAAACCGCAAAAAAGAGGCGGTCTGCCCTGGCTGACGCATCCAATTTCAGTGGATGCTGAGCTCTAAAGCTCGTGCTTGTAAGGTTCTGACAGCTTGACACGAATGGTGTAGGAAGAAATTTGTATATGGTACGATTACAGCTTTCCCTCCCAACAATGACCTGACCGATCCCTTGGATACATGCACATTGGTCAAGCGCCGGTTCCCACCAACATGGAAGCTCTTTGAGCACTATGAGCATTAGCGTTAATTTCAGGTGCTGCCCATACAGCAACGGAAGCCGTTCCCAAACCCAGTCAGCCTGCCGGAACTGCGAGAAGCTCGTTGGGCCATAAAAGCTGAACCCCAAACCACTGTCGTTGCTGTTCTTGTTGGATCCTCCTTTACGCTTGCGGGAGCCTGCTCGAGAAGATAAAGACCAGGAATAGAGGACATTCTCACATTTTCGGGGGGGCCAACAAGGGCACCCCCTCAATAGCATGGGCTCCCGAAAGTCTTATAAATCCCCAGAAAGGGATCAGAAGAGCGGCTATACCTCTTGTACTGCTATAGTCTATATCTCTAGATGGTGAAACATCTTCAAGAATGAAAGGCGACGGCGACTCGGATCCTCGCCTTCATGAGCTCTCCATGGGCATCCCTGGCAAGACGTCGTCGAAGTCTGGCGCCTTTGTAGGTCGACCGTCGGCCTTCACAGAGTTGGGCGATGGACTCCCTGGGCTCACAGGGACAGCGCCGGTATCCACGATGACTGCTCCTGGCTCCAGCTCAGGTTCCTCCTGGGGCTCCTCCTGCACGTTATCGTCTTCAAACCACCTCGATTCAACCTTCGCCCTCACACCTCGGCTTCTGAGGGCCAAGGTTGCCAAACTGCCCATAGCGACAGCCGTGGTGAGAGGGAGCACGAACAAGTCCTGCAGCAAGCTCATACCGGTGCTCTGGTACCAGTCATGTGCATCCACCAACCGTACATTGGCGAGGAAGATCATGACGTAGAACACGCATGTGCCCGAGTAGAATAGCCAAATGAACCAGAAGCAGAAGCCTTTGCAGCGCCAAGTGGCGATCTGCCGACTAATCGCCCTCTCCGACCACTGCCGCTTTTCAATGGGCTTGCGAACTTGGAGGAGAAAGAGGGTGAAGACAACGCAGTCGCCCAGGAAAGCAGCAAGGAAACCCACAATGGTGTTCGTCACAAGTCTCCGGAAGTAATCCTTCGGCGTCCAACATTTCGGATCCGAGCCTTCGAGTGGGGAGTTGCTCGAAAAGAACAAGGCGTTCGTGGCGCCCGATGTGCAAATTTTCAGAAAGATCAGGGAGACACGGACCTTGTACGAGGTCACGATGCTGAGCCGCAGCAGCGCAATCCAGGGGTGGAAGGCGGGCAGGAGCAGCCCCACGCGCCCGCACCAGGAACGGTCGAGAATGGATTTCACCGCGCCGGCGCCGTGGATATGGACGTTCCATCGGGCACTGAGATCCCGAAGGGCCGAGGTGAAGTTGTTCATGCTCGGGAGG